ACTCCTGCGATAGGTGCTACTGCGATAGGTGCTACTGCGATAGGTACTCCTGCGATAGGTGCTACTGCGATAGGTGCTACTGCGATAGGTGCTACTGCGATAGGTGCTACTGCGAAAGGTGCTACTGCGATAGGTGCTACTGCGATAGGTGCTACTGCGATAGGTACTCCTGCGATAGGTGCTACTGCGATAGGTACTCCTGCGATAGGTGCTACTGCGATAGGTGCTACTGCGATAGGTGCTACTGCAATAGGTGCTAATGCGATAGGTGCTACTGCGAAAGGTGCTACTGCGATAGGTGCTACTGCGATAGGTGCTAATGCGAAGGGTGCTACTGCGAAGGGTGCTACTGCGAAGGGTGCTACTGCGATAGGTGCTACTGCGATAGGTGCTACAGCGATAGGTGCTACTGCGATAGGTGCTACTGCGATAGGTGCTACTGCGACAGGTGCTACTGCGACAGGTGCTACTGCGATAGGTGCTACTGCGAAAGGTGCTACTGCGATAGGTGCTACTGCGATAGGTGCTACTGCGATAGGTGCTACTGCGATAGGTGCTACTGCGATAGGTGCTACTGCGATAGGTGCTACTGCGATAGGTGCTACTGCGATAGGTGCTACTGCGATAGGCGCTACTGCGATAGGCGCTACTGCGATAGGCGCTACTGCGATAGGCGCTACTGCGATAGGCGCTACTGCGAAAGGCGCTACTGCGATAGGCGCTACTGCGATAGGTGCTACTGCGATAGGTGCTACTGCGATAGGTGCTACTGCGATAGGTGCTACTGCGAAGGTATAACCTGAATTCTGAGAAATTTGCAAGATTTAAACTTAGATTTTCAAGATATGAGAGGTGGAGTTGGGGCGGTGGAGTTGGGGCGGTGGAGTTGGGGCGTGGTTGGGCGGTGGGTGGGGCGGTGGGGTTGGGGCGGTGGGGTTGGGGCGGCGGGGTTGGGGCGGCGGGTTGGGGGCGGGTTGGGCGGCGGAGTTGGGGCGGCGGAGTTGGGGCGGCGGAGTTGGGGCGGCGGAGTTGGGGCGGCGGAGTTGGGGCGGCGGAGTTGGGGCGGCGGAGTTGGGGCGGCGGAGTTGGGGCGGCGGAGTTGGGGCGGCAGAGTTGGGGCGGCGGAGTTGGGGCGGCGGAGTTGGGGCGGCGGAGTTGGGGCGGCGGAGTCGGGGCGGTGGAGTTGGGGCGGTGTCGCCAGGTGAAGGCTGGTACAACCCTCCTACTGTATTTTAAGTATGGAACGACGTAATTCCAGAAGCATCAAACTTGGTACACAATTTCCACGGGTTACAAGCCTGAGATGCAAGTTCACAATTACGTTTAGCCGATTCATACCGCAGGAAAAAAAAGTGCAAAACATAATGAAAATTCATACAGAAAGATTATTTTCTTAATTTTCAAAGAAAGTTTAAAGCTTATTACTGTCTTGCGGATCAAAAGGACTTCCAATAAAAACACCAATATCATTAATGTACAATAAATCATAGACATGGATTCCTAATATAAATTTAATAGACAATCATAAAAATCAGAGACTTGGATGATATTATTTCTCCTATTTAACTACCATAAATACACACAGCAGGGAACTGTTCGCTGACAGTGAATTGATCTACCATTTTCTTGCTTCGATCAAACATGGTTATCTCTCTTTCCCTTGCATTTGTAAGCCTGCTAAGGGCTTACCCCTCAGGGAGGTTCCTTGACGCTTGTTGAGGGCTCTTGGTCTAGGGAAATGGATCTGTGATCCGGTTCCTTGAATTGAGCCTGAATACCTTCCATACCCCCATCCACATGCGCTGTATAATCCTACGGTTTTAGTGCTCCCCATAATTATAATATAATCCTACGGGCTTAGAGATTTCTCTTGATAATAGACACTGGTACTGATAAACTTGTGTGACATCTTGAGAGTACTTGCAGTTTATCTTTGAGTTCCTCTCCCGATGACTGCACGAGTTGTGATGTGACTGTTAGCTCATGAAGTGATGTCTGTTGTCTCTGCAGTTACTTAAACAACAAAGTCACAATTCCGTGACTGGAACGATACACAATCCGCTGGTTATTTGTGTACTGCAGTTACTTATCCAAATCAATGTCCTAATGTTCTTGTCTCGGCCCAGTGGAAATACTGTTGTTGATGGTGTTTCGATACTTCCCAGTTTGTTGGTTCTGCTTCATATGTACTGGGAAAATCCCACCTCCCAAAATGGTTTTTAATGGTGAAGGGACTTTTATGGTGATATGGTCATGTTTGAAGACTGTTCTTGCACGATGTCGAAAACAGTGAGAGAATGATTGGTAATTTCTGGAGCATTGTAATGAGTGTAATTAACACTTACATCAGGTCTGTACCTGCAGCTGAGGTTTACTAGCTGTGTCCCAGCCTATGTCTGGCAAGTGTTTGATCTGTCACTCTAGTTTTGTCTTGTATGTTTCCACATCTCTAACTCAATTTTAATAGTTCCACTGTGTGTTGATGAGCAAGATGTCCATTTTTTTCACAAAATTGTTTGTAATAATGGTTTTCAGTTTCTTTACGAGCTGTATATAGAGTTGCCATCGTTATAAAGAATGTTGGATTGTGCATTGTCGTTGCTAGGTAGTGAACGATTTTGTGCAATTCCAGTGTGTGGGGCACCCATTGAACTGCTGTGCCTTCATGAAGTATGACATGTTGATACATATGCAACATGTAGCGTCTTGTAAACGTTTCACCGTCCAGTGGCTTTCAGTGCATGACATGGGCACTGATAGTCACTGGATGGCGAGACGTATACAAGATATCCCGATGGTGTACATGTGTCAAATTCATCATCTTGTCGCTGGTGAATACCAGCGATATACAAGCACTATACACCTGTGCAACAAGTGTGTATCATTATTATGTAGACGTTGAGCTAACCAGTGGTTTTTTAAATATACAGGGACTTAAATAAAAGACTGAAAAGGTTGAAGATGTGGCAATCAGTCCCTCTCACTTTAGAAGCAGGAGTTCAGAACAGTAGTCTTATCCTTAAATGATTAAGTCAATATGTAAGAGTTTGGACGATTAATATAAGGGCCAGATTAATCTTATACAATTCAGCTATGAAAGCTGAGGTTATTGTGTGGTTTCCATCGCATTTGGAGATGGAAGTGAGGAATCCACAATGTGGAAGTCAAAGAAGGTGTATTGTTATGGAGAACTCGTGATCCATCTCTATATATTTCTATTGTATCGCCGTGAAGATTGTACATGTAAAAGCAAAATCTCTTGTTTAGTTTGTTTCTGTTTGGGAATATCTAAGTCCAACTGAGTTATGGCTATTGAGGTACTGTAGTTCCATGGGAAATATAAAGGGACCTGATGGTTGGTTCTTTGTTTTAGAAGATATGTAAATAGGAAGAGAGATTGTTCATGCTTTCTATCAGTTCTTAGCAGACTGTTGCTTGCCTGTGAACAGGTTGCCTTCTATGATAAGTGCAATTGTCTTTTGTATATATTTAAATACATAATTCGCAGAAAGATTAAAGAAACAACGGTGAAGTTTCTCAATATATTTGCATTGTGTCAAGCTAGTAGTGAATTATACAAATAGTTTAGAAAACCAACAAGTTGATGAATGAGAAAACTATGCAACAATTGCGTGTCTTTATAGAGGTAACTTCTCGCCAGCCAGTGACTAACATCATTCATCTCTGTATTGAACTGAGGAGGGCGCTAGCTGGCGAAACGTCGCCACAAAGATACCCGAGTGTAAAAAAGAAAAAAACTATACTATGGGTGGGGTTTGAACCAGCAATCAGAGAGTCACAAAACTCCAGGCCGTATCGTTAGCCACTCTGATAGAGGGTTCAAACCCCGCCCGTGATATGGTTTGCTTGCAATCGTGTCATTGCAATTTCGTGAGACATACCAAAGTATTGCACAAGTGTCTCACTGAATTGTCAGTTAACAAATAAATGATATACTTAGTAGAATTCTGCAGCCCAAGTGAACTGTGATTTTTAAATACATCTGCCAGTATGTTTAATGATGGTGGTAACACGACTCGAGGTCTCAACGATAGTTGTAATGTGATGGTGCTGGTAATAGAGGAGAGGGACGAGCGCATACGTGTGAATACACGTGCGCATGTATGCAGACGTGTGAATACACGTGCACATGTGTGCAGACGTGTGAATACACGTGCGCATGTGTGCAGACGTGTGAATACACGTGCGCATGTATGCAGACGTGTGAATACACTTGCACATGTTTGCAGACGTGTGAATACACGTGCGCATGTATGCAGACGTGTGAATACACGTGCACATGTGTGCAGACGTGTGAATACACGTGCGCATGTATGCAGACGTGTGAATACACTTGCACATGTTTGCAGACGTGTGAATACACGTGCACATGTTTGCAGACGTGCGAAAGCACGTTCACATGTTTGCAGACGTGCGAAAGCACGTTCACATGCGTGCAGACGTGCGAAAGCACGTGCACATGCGTGCAGACGTGCGAAATCACGTGCACATGCGTCAAGACGTGCGAAAGCACGTGCACATGCGTCAAGACGTGCGAAAGCACGTGCACATGCGTCAAGACGTGCGAAAGCACGTGCACATGCGTCAAGACGTGCGAAAGCACGTGCACATGCGTGCAGACGTGCGAAAGCACGTGCACATGCGTGCAGACGTGCGAAAGCACGTGCACATGCGTGCAGACGTGCGAAAGCACGTGCACATGCGTGCAGACGTGCGAAAGCACGTGCACATGCGTGCAGACGTGCGAAAGCACGTGCACATGCGTGCAGACGTGCGAAAGCACGTGCACATGCGTGCAGACGTGCGAAAGCACGTACACATGCGTGCAGACGTGCGAAAGCACGTGCACATGTATGCACTTCTGTAAGTATGTATATGTTTAAATGCGGAGCACATGTATACTCACAAGTATTTGTGTGTGTGCATATGTATGTTTTTGCATATGCATACATACGCACACAAGTACACGCATGTATTCATAAGGAAGTGTACATACGTTCAGAAATTCATACATAAAAACATTGTACATTTTATACTTTGTATACAATGTATGACCCTTGTGGGTTTAGCGCTTTATGATTATAATACTGTATACGCAGTTTAATATTTTTTTGCACTGAAATTTCATAACCACTCTTCCTTTTGCATGCACTGAGGAAAAGATGGCTGGGCTTACGAAATACAGGGATTTAATTAGCACAACGATCGAAATACATCTAGTTAGAAACTTTAATCAACTAACTTACTTGTAGACTTAATCAAAAGTCGTAGATCTACCAAGTATATCAGTTATTTGTAATACTGAGCAATAGGTTGATTTTACAAGGAGCACAGCTGCGACGTGGTTGTATCAGCGGCAGCAAATGTGATGATACTGTCTCGTTCCACAGCCACAGAAACTCTGATGGTACACAAAACTGCAAGAATATATAAGCAGAGTCTTCCAGTGAGTAGAAACATTTCATCAATAAAGATTCCTGTTGTTGCACACGTCTTGCGGAGTTGTATATACCATATATATGATACGAGAATTGTTCAGTGTTGATAGCACCATTCAGGACAGGAAGATATCTGAGCTGCAACAGATACAGAGATTTACTGTATGCATAGAACCAGTAACGCGAGTAATCTACAGGGAATGCCTCAGTCTTAAATATGTATTCTTTAGAGTAGATCAGAAGCGATACATGATAATACATACGTGGAAGGCACTTGAATGTTTAGTCCAACATTTTCACACATCAGTAATGTTACTTGTTTTGCATAATTGCCAATATACTGGAGTTTATCTGGAGAGAGTTCCGGGGGTCAACGCCCCCGCGGCCCGGTCTGTGACCAGGCCTCCTTAGGTCAGTGTCCCAGGATGCGACCCACACCAGTCGACTAACACCCAGGTACCCATTTTAATGATGGGGAACATAGACAACAGGTGGAAAGAAACACGTCCAATGTTTCTACTCTGGCTGGGAATCGAACCCAGGCCCTCACCGTGTGAAGCGAGAGCGTTAACCACCAGGCCACCAGGAGTGAGATATATGGTAGTAAATATATAAAATAAACTCAGTAAAAAGCATGAGTGTTGCAAGAATAATGATAAAACACTGCATCAATATCCCCGCCTACAATATTAAACATCTCACTTGACGCTATCAGAAACACTGCTGGAACAAGATGTTTCCATGAAGTCCAAGACGTTCGTCCAGGAAGCACCTGATCAGTCTGGTTGACCAGGCCAGCACTGCATGTCATCATTCCATCCGACGAAGACTTATTTGAAGCGATGATTACTCAAATGATATCTAGCACTTTTTATAGTCCGTTCAACTTAACTCGTTACTGTTGACGAACAAAAGTTGACTAATTGATCTTGTAAGTCTAGGTGAGTTGACTATGTTGTGTGTCTTTATGTACCTGAGACCAACTTCTCACACTCTCCCTCTCCACTCTCTCAGTTCCTCTCAGCATTTTGTAAGTTGTAATTACGTCATGTCTGGTCCTTCTGTCTTCTAGTGTCAACGTATTAGAGCCTCTCATAGGTCATACTACTCAGCTCTTAGTTTCGTTGCAAACCTTTGCATATGTGTATATATTTACCTATGTGGTTGCAGGGGTCAAGTCTCGGCTCCAGGCCCCGCCTCTTCGCTTGCGTGTAACTCTACGGTTGGTAGGTAAGACACATAGGCAACAGTTAGGCAACTTTATTCCGAAACGTTTCGCCTACACAGTAGGCTTCTTCAGTCGAATACAGAAAGTAGGCAGGAACAGTAGAGATGTGAAGACGATGTAATCAGTCCATCACCCTTGAAGTCGTAGAATTTGAGGTTGTCAGTCCCTCAGCCTGGAGAAGTTCAGTTCCATAGTCAGGAACTAACTGAAGATCAAGCGACAGTGCAGAGACTTAAATACTGTCGGAAGGAGAGGTGCAGAGTAGTAGTAGTGAGAATGTAGCCACTGAGAGGTCAGGTCCCTCTCAGATCCAACAGTTCTCACTTGAAAGGGTTGTCCAAGGTGTTTTTCTGTACCAAGAGGCCATGTGTTGCAGTGTCTGACAAGATGAATATCAAAATGGTATACAATACCGACAGGTTGGTAGGTAAGACACATAGGCAACAGTTAGGCAACTTTATTCCGAAACGTTTCGCCTACACAGCAGGCTTCTTCAGTCGAATACAGAAAGTAGGCAGGAACAGTAGAGATGTGAAGACGATGTAATCAGTCCATCACCCTTGAAGTCGTAGAATTTGAGGTTGTCAGTCCCTCAGCCTGGAGAAGTTCAGTTCCATAGTCAGGAACTAACTGAAGATCAAGCGACAGTGCAGAGACTTAAATACTGTCGGAAGGAGAGGTGCAGAGTAGTAGTAGTGAGAATGTAGCCACTGAGAGGTCGGGTCCCTCTCAAGGGTGATGGACTGATTACATCGTCTTCACATCTCTACTGTTCCTGCCTACTTTCTGTATTCGACTGAAGAAGCCTACTGTGTAGGCGAAACGTTTCGGAATAAAGTTGCCTAACTGTTGCCTATGTGTCTTACCTACCATCCTGTCGGTATTGTATACCATTTTGATGTTCATCTTGTCAGACACTGCAACACATGGCCTCTTGGTACAGAAAAACACCTTGGACAACCCTTTCAAGTGAGAACTGTTGGATCTGAGAGGGACCTGACCTCTCAGTGGCTACATTCTCACTACTACTACTACTCTGCACCTCTCCTTCCGACAGTATTTAAGTCTCTGCACTGTCGCTTGATCTTCAGTTAGTTCCTGACTATGGAACTGAACTTCTCCAGGCTGAGGGACTGACAACCTTAAATTCTACGACTTCAAGGGTGATGGACTGATTACATCGTCTTCACATCTCTACTGTTCCTGCCTACTTTCTGTATTCGACTGAAGAAGCCTACTGTGTAGGCGAAACGTTTCGGAATAAAGTTGCCTAACTGTTGCCTATGTGTCTTACCTACCAACCTGTCGGTATTGTATACCATTTTGATATTCAACTCTACGGTTAATGCTCCACGGTGAACTTCAGGTGCAAATATTTCACATACTGTATAACCATTATACCAATTAAGCTTTATTTAAATAGGCGTCAGATGTGTAATTAATGTTCAGAAGTGTCCAAGTAGGCAAACTGTTTTGCATAAATTAATGATTTCTTAAAGCTTGGTCTGTGTTAGAACAATCAGCTCAGCACAACAATCCGCCCAAAACCATTAACTCTTCACCTCAACAAATACTCACTTTTTTATACAACAATCAGCCATGACAGAAAGTGAAGTTCCGGGGTCGTATCATCATTTCTAAAAGTTCAACTGCTACCCATTTGTCCACATTTGGTGTCCATATTAAAATCATTTTTCTTAATGAACCTTCATGACTGGTAGTCGGCGTAATCCAACCGCAACTGCTGTACCACCACCCACCACCATTCGAGAATTTCTCGGTGCATGATTTATCTGTAGATAAAAAAAAACATGTAAATGAACTCACCGAATTCTGCAAATATGTAAACATATACACACACGTGGGTTAGATTTGTGCGGGACAGTTTTGTGTGAGGTATTGTCACCTCTGCATGACGTGCCACCTCAGGAGTTAATATTTAAAATTGTCTTCTAGTGCCTCTTCTTATTCCTCGGAGGATGTGTGTGTGTAAGCACATGAATGCTCTCGGGTTTTATTTCCTATTTTTCACTCGTATTTTTTCATATATATACACAAGCGTAAACAAGACTAGTCCCTACAAGGAGAGACTAAGGGAACCTGACGACTCAGGAGGACAGAAGGGATATGGGAAGGGGAGAAAATGATAACGATGTATAAAATACTGAGAGGAATTGACAAGGTGGACGGGGCCAGAATGTTTCAGAGATGGGACAACAACAACAAACGGACACAACTGAAACTTAACTACTCAGGTGAGTCATAGGTATGTTGGGAAGAACTTTTTCAGTCAGAGTTGTCAAGAAATGGAACTGTCTGGAGAATGAAGTAGGGGAGGCAGGATCCATACATAGCTTTAAGATGAGGTACGATAAGGCTCTTGGAGCAGGGAAAGAAAGGACCTAGTAGCGACTAGACATGAGGCGGTACCAGGAACTGTGACTCGACCCTGCAACCACAAATAGGCGAGTGAAAACACACACACACACACATACATACACATACATACACACACATACACACACACACACATTCATTGTCGTAGGGCAAGGAGCCGAGTTTCGACTTTTGCAACCACAATTGTGTGAGCACGCACACACACACACACACACACTGGAGGACAGGAGGGTCAGGGGAGACATGATAACGACATACAAAATACTGCGTGGAATAGACAAGGTGGACAGAGACAGGATGTTCCAGAGATGGGACCCAGAAACAAGGGGTCACAATTGGAAGCTGAAGACTCAGATGTGTCAAAGGGATGTTAGGAAGTATTTCTTCAGTCATAGAGTTGTTAGGAAGTGGAATAGTCTGGCAAATGATGTAGTGGAGGCTGGAGCAATACATAGTTTTAAGACGAAGTATGATATAGCTCATGGAGCAAGGGGAGAGAGGACCTAGTAGCGGTCGGTGAAGAGGGTGGGCCAGGAGCTGAGTCTCGACCCCTGCAACCACAATTAGGTGAGTACAATTAGGTGAGTACACACACACGAGATTATGCAGGGCCTTCCCAGAAAGTTCTAGGATGCCGTAACTATGAGGAGCATAAGAATCATTCTTCGCTGACCACATAGTATATCTGAAGTATACCTGGAGTGGGTTTCGGGGTCAATGCCCCCGCGGCTCAATCTGAGACCAGACCTTTTGGTGGATCAGGGTGTGATCAACCAGGCTGTTACTGCTGGCCGCACGCAAACTGACGTGCGAACCACAGCCCGGTTGGTCAGGTGCTGACTTTAGGTGCCTGTCCAGCTCCTTCTTGAAGGCAGTCAGGAGTCTGTTAGTAATCCCCTTTACGTAAAACTAATACAAAGAGTAAAAACAGAAAATGATGACACAACCTGCAAGAAGACTTGGACAAACCCGGAGTGGTCAAACAAGGTCGTGAACAATGGAGAGAGAGAAGGGGATGAGCACCGAACATAGCTTCAGAACTGAGAAACTACAAATATGGCTCACTGAGAAACATCTAAGTATGATCAACACGCGCAACTTGTCACCAAAGGTGCTGATAAACAGCATTACATCAGCAGCATATGCTATGATGCTATATTAGTCATACGCAAATAACCCCCATATAGGAGTGAGGAACTTACGACGTTTCGGTCTGACTTGGACCATTTACAAAGTCACACAGTGTGACTTTGTAAATTTATAGTTAATTTATAGGTAATAATTGTTATTTATAGTTAATCTCAAAACTGGCTTCTGAAATTATAATAAAGGATATTTTGAGTTTTTTACAAGCTGTAAGTCAGTTCTAGCGTAGGAATGCAGCAACAGGATGGAGCCCCACATTAGAGAGAGAGAGAGAGAGAGAGAGAGAGAGAAGAGAGAGCGAGAGCAAGCAAGCAAGCAAGCAAGACTCTTGTCCCTCCTTTGTCAATAGATTGAAAGCAGCAAGTCAAAAGACAACCCAGAAGGTATACGACTGTCGTGGAGCTAGTTGCTTTTGTTCTGACTCACCACTAGCAAGTATCCCAACTTTCGGATAAGTTAAGACTATCACATTTTTTCCTCTTTCATTGGAGATCGTGGAATCAACAGTGAAGACAGACTCACCTGAGTTATCATTGTCTTTGTCTCGCGTGGAGAACTTGCTTCCAGGAGAGCTTGCCATATTATCCCCAATGGTACTGGCATCCTGGTACCCTTCTACTTGCAGCTGGTACCTGATAGAAGGAAAGTGGAGAGGGAGGAGAGCCATGGTTAATTTATGTGTGGTTTTCTCGGTTAAAATTATTGATGTTAGAAGTCAAGTCTTAGTATTAGAAGAAGGTTCCTTCATCCTATTCGTTCTCCGACGCAAGGTGGAAAGAATTTGGTGGTCAGGAATATACCATACCACGGGCGGGAGTTAATTAAACCCGCGGTGAGAGTCTCAAAACTCCAGACCGTCGCGTTAGCCACTGGTCCAGTGGCTAACGCGACGGTCTGGAGTTTTGAGACACTCTGACCGCGGGTTCAACTCCCGCCCGTGTTATGGTTTGTTTGCAATCGTGTCATTACGATTTCGTGAGTCATGTCAGGAATATGTAGCTCTTCGCCGTGGGGGACCGGGCGCATAGCAGAGGGTATGTTAGAATATAAAATCCACTATTTTCCGTGCAAATACATATCCTGGCTGGAGGCACCATGAAGAAGTAACAATCTCTTGCATAATCCGTTAGCTTCTAAATACAACTGGCACTGCAAAAGGTATAGATTCCCTTTTCCCATTCAACCACTGGCGAAGGTTTATTGAACTAATATTGCAGCATATGTGTGGGCTCAGATCTTGGCCTGATCTCCAATCTTACAGCCACACTTTTGCAATGCACACACATTTTTGCAGTGCAATAGTCAGTTCTCCACAAACGTTAAAAAAAATATGCAAAGTGTTCTCACAATAACGAGCCATCTTTGTCTAAATTTGGTTGAAAAAAAAGTCTGTCGAAAGCAGACACTAAAAAGTTCGACTCTTGTGCATTGTATCGCGGGTTCTATCCCCGTCCGTGGTATAGTTTGTTTGCAAACGTGTCAATACGATTTCGTGAGTCATCGTATCACTTCCATGAATGAAATTATGTAATCCACTTAGTAGGCTAGTGTAATATCTGAATTCTGAGTGAATCGTCTTTTTTCTCTCATTAGCTACCTTAAATGAAGTGCCCAAATCTAAGCACCACCCTCACGTTCAAAAAAAAAAAAAAAAAAAAAAGGAAAAAAAAGGAGTTATCAATGAGAAATAAATGAAATTTTATGGATTGTGGATGGAGATCGAGCCTTCCCTCTGTACAATATATGTACACTCCTCCATTCCCAAGTCAAAGATAACAGCAACAGGCCTAAGTCCTGATCTTTATAAATAGAGCCAATTTGCAATTTTAACCATTTCAGTATTCATTGACCTAAAATTGGTAAAGAATGACTAGTTTTTATTAATGAAATATTTTGGCTGTAAACCAGTGGTATAATCAGGTTCACTTCGAAGAATATAAGGATAGCATTAGTTGCTTTTATATTATTAAGATCAAGGCAGAAGGTGTAAGGAGACTTGCCCAGTATTCGACCACGGGTGTCTGCTGAGATTTAACGCTCCACCACTATGCTTAGGCATAGGTTAACTAAAATATATACCAAAAACGCAATTAAAAGTTCTAGGAACATTCAGCTACTTTCCGTGAGTGACCACCTGAGAACAACTACAGCAAAAATATTCACTGAGGGATTGAACACTGTGAAACGGGTTGCAGTGCGGGACGAGATGCAATGTGGAATTAACAATGTAGCTATGATCAAGCGAGTAAATGTTTCAAGCAAAAATGGAGTAAAGACGCAGACGAATGCTTCATCAAGTAGATAAGTATACTATAATTATAGTGAAATTAGGACGTGTTGAGTTGTAATCGCTGTTAAGAAGACTTGCGTTAACTGCATCACTCGATACTCACAAGAACCATTTCAAGATTCCACTGTCTTCAAGAAGTACACTTTATCTATATTCTCAGAGTTAATTACAATTAATATGGGTATGTGACCTGGATTTCCTGTAGAGGAGGGAAAAAGCTAAAGATTACTCACTGTGTATTCTCGCTGCCGACACTGAATGTGGAATAGTGTGCCCAACGGTGTTCATTCTGTAGGTCGTCAGTAGCGGTGAGTCGCAGGGCTTGGGGCGAGTTCTGTGTCAGCTGATGCAACGTCTCCAGTCCTGTCCATACATGCAATAGAAATCATTCTCTGCTTCCGCAGTACATGCCCACGTAAACTAATATCAGTCTTTGATAATAGCTGCAATTTGACTTTAAGGATGTCCTTAAGGATGAACAATGGTGTATTAGATCTAAAGTTTATTGCCTACGTAAGTGTTATTGAACGTTCATAGGTGGATAGACACCACTAAGGTTTCAAAATATATTAGAATTATTATTATTCAGGTGAAGCTTTAAACCCGTGCCAGTCATTTATTATAAAGTGTAGTGGAAGCTTGATTCTAAATGACCCCTCAAGGGAGGTTCCTTGACGCTGGTGAGGGGCTCTTGATCTAGGGAATTGAATCTGTGCTCCAGTTCCCTGAATTGAACCTGATTGTCTTCCACCCCCCACATGGGCTGTATAATCCTATGGGTTTAGCGCTCCCCTATGATTATAATAATAATAACCTAACAGAGGGAGTCACGCCGGAGTTTCCTCTGCGATGTAGTAAATGGTCTAGAAAACCGACAAGCTGAGGAATGAGACACTTGTACAATATTTGGGAACCTTTACTGTAGAAACTTAACGCCAGTCAGTGGCTTCTCTAGGCCATTACAGAGTTTGGTTACCTCAAACTCCTCAACTTCAACTGTTCTTCTCTGTATTGGTCTGAAGAAGCTACTGGAGGGCCAAACTTCTCAACAATGAAGATTCCCCATTGTCTTTCTCTGTGATGTTTCCGCTGACAAGTTTTCCTCTGATAGAGAATTACCTTCAGAGGGCTGTTTCCTTTGTCCAGCTGGTAGTATAGTTTACTCTTCCCGTACATGTGATAAATGACTCACGGTTCTATCCAGGTGGTAATATTCAGCCAGTGATAGAACCCACTCTCCTCGTTCATGAAGTTACTTAGAATACATTCTTAATACTCGTGGAAATATTGCTTACTATCTTCGTCCTGAGCGTAGTGAATCCCACAGGAGATTTCATAATTCACACGTAGGAATGTAGTCCACACTGTCGACGTTACCCTTATTATTCCTGTCTTCGTACTGAACTGCGTCAGTTTAACGCAATTTTCTCTTACCTAACCAATATTCTGCAGAGACGTTACCGAAGCCGGCCTTGTAGTCTGACCAGTCCTTTGCGAAGTCTTCCCAGGGAACTGCTGCTTTGTCTCTCTTGACAAACACCGTCCAGCCCCCTGAAAAACAAATAGTTATATGAAATTAGGTACGATCGTAACCCATTGCTATTAATTCTATTTATATTAGTAATAAATACCCATTATAAATCATTAATTAGTACTTATTATTATTAAAAAATATCCATTGTGTTTCTCATATTTTTTATTAACATTTGATAATAATGATTTACAATGCACTAACATAGGTGATAGTGCTACTAAAACTATTGTTATTACTACTACTATTGTTACTATTAAAATATTTACAACAATTACTGTTACCAGTGCAATTGTCCCGTGGCTCGGCTAGTAACGCACTCGGCTCACAGACTGAAGGTCTGTGGTGCAATTCCCTCCAGGGGTGGAAACGCTGGGTATGTTTCCTTACACCTGCTGTCCCTGTTCACCTAAGTGTATGTAGGTACCTGGGTGTTAGTCTACTGTTGTGGGTCGCATCCTGTGGAGTGATAGTATACCTTTGGTAGATAGTGTAACAAGCAATAATAGATTAATAGTGGTGACATGGCGAGCATGGGCATCCAAGCGGATTCAGGGATCGAAGGTGGACTGGCTCTTAAAAAAAACCAGACTGATGAGGGGAGAGAGAGAATTTTGAATTTCCTAATACTGTACTGTACCCTTCTTAACCAAGCGTTCTAGGAACTTGCAAATTTCACTAGTAAGAGCGACGCCTCTTCAATGAAAGATGGCTGGCACGAAGTACCCGGTATAAGAAAAGGTATGGCATCTTCAATTTTCCACTGAAACAGGAAAATCCATTGCATCAAAACGTAGTGAGTGTAGAAGCATTAGCATATGGGTATCAGTTCCAGATGTGGCAGGTTCACACGTGGATAGTGTCGATGTGGGATCACAGAATGTGTAGGGTGTTTAATAAGGTTCTTCAACGTGAAATGTAAAATCTAGAGATGTTGACCCTCTGGTTATGAAGAAAATGGCGGAAGAGTTGTAGCCCCTGGGATACACGCACAAGGTGATGCTTCCCAAATTACACCATTCCTGTTCACTTAAAATGATTGCTACACTCATTATATTATTGCTGTCTTTATGTTATTACTGCTAACATTATGCAGTAACATAAGGTTGGCAGTAGTAATATTATGCAGTAACAATGTTGGCAGTAGTAACATTATGCAGTAACATAATGTTGGCAGTAGTATCATTATGCAGTAACAATGTTGGCAGTAGTAACATTATGCAGTAACATAATGTTGGCAGTAGTATCATTATGCAGTAACATAATGTTGGCAGTAGTAACATTATGCAGTAACAATGTTGGCAGTAGTAACATTATGCAGTAACATAATGTTGGCAGTAGTAACATTATGCAGTAATATAATGTTGGCAGTAGTAACATTATGCAGTAACAATGTTGGCAGTAGTAACATAATGCAGCAGCATAATGTTGGCAGTAGTAACATTATGCAGTGACATAATGCTGGCAGTAGTAATATTATGCAGCAACATAATGCTGGCAGTAGTAATATTATGCAGCAACATAATGCTGGCAGTAGTAACATTATGCAGTAACATAATGCTGGCAGAAGTAACATTATGCAGTAACATAATGCTGGCAGTAGTAACATTATGCAGTGACATAATGCTGGCAGTAGTAACATTATGCAGTAACATAATGCTGTCAGTAGTAACATTATGCAGTAACATAATGCTGGCAGTAGTAACATTATGCAGTAACATAATGGCAGGCAGTAGTAACATTATGCAGTAACATAATGCTGGCAGTAGTAACATTATGCAGTAACATAATGCTGGCAGTAGTAACATTATGCAGTAACATAATGCTGGCAGTAGTAACATTATGCAGTAACAAATGCTGGCAGTAGTAACGTTATGCAGTAACAATGTTGGCAGTAGTAGCATTATGCAGTAACATAATGTTGGCAGTAGTAACATTATGCAGTAACATAATGTTGGCAGTAGTAACATTATGCTGTAACATAATGCTGGCAGTAGTAACATTATGCAGTAACATAATGCTGGCAGTAGTAGCATGCAGTAACATAAGGCTGGCAGTAGTAACATTATGCAGTATCATAATGTTGGCAGTAGTAACATAATGCAGTAACATAATGCTGGCAGTAGTAACATTATGCAGTAACATAATGCTGGCAGTAGTAATATTATGCAGTATCATAATGTTGGCAGTAGTAACATTATGCAGTAACATAATGCTGGCAGTAGTAACATTATGCAGTAACATAATGCTGGCAGTAGTAACATTATGCAGTAACATAATGCTGGCAGTAGTAACATTATGCAGTAACATAATGCTGGCAGTTTGTAACATTATGCAGTATCATAATGTTGGCAGTAGTAACATTATGCAGTAACATAATGTTGGCAGTAGTAACATTATGCAGTAAACATAATGTTGGCAGTAGTAACATTATGCAGTAACATAATGTTGGCAGTAGTAACATTATGCAGTAACATAATGTTGGCAGTAGTAACATTATGCAGTAACATAATGTTGGCAGTAGTAACATTATGCAGTAACATAATGTTGGCAGTAGTAACATTATGCAGTAACATAATGCTGGCAGTAGTAACATTATGGAAATATAAACACATATGCAGTATAATGTGATCTTTTATTGACTACGTTTCGCCCACACAGTGGGCTTTTTCAAGTCACACTCAGAACTACCTGGGGTGGAAGGAACGCGAGTATTTATAGCCAGGTTCAGAATGCTGAGGTCAGGTGGAGAATGCTGCATCTGATGATGTACCAAGTGGGGTTATAGAGTCTAAAAACTTGGGTAGCTTGGAAAGGAGATTGAATAAGTTTGTGAGCAGACCCCCCACAGTGTTCTCTTGTGGGATAGCGATGAAGAAGTTTCTTGGCAAGTGGTTCAGCTATGTTATAGAAGCCACTATTCTGGTTGAAGTTGTCGGATATAGAAATAAGTGATGATTCCAGGATTCTTCGGTATTGAGTGTTGTCTTCTGTGGCGATAAGTCTTGAGTTTCTGTAGTTTATCAAGTGGTTGTGTGAATTACGGTGTTGTACGCAGGCATTCCTTGTGTCGTCAGACCTGCTTGCGTATTGGTGTTCTGAAATACGTGTTTGGAGGTCCCTTGATGTTTCGCCCACGTATAACTTGTTGCAGTCGTTACAAGGGATTATGTATACCCCTGCAGAGGGTGGAAGCTTGTCCTGTCTATCACTGGTAATGTCCTTGATGGTCGTGGTTGTGGAGGTAGATACTTGAAATGAGGTATTGGAAAAGATGTTGGAAACGTGTTTGGCAATGGAGTTGGTTGGGAGGACTATGTATCTCTTCTCGGCAGTGTCTTCTCTGGGTGTGTTGAAGATGTTTAATGCCCGTCGTCTGCAGTCTCTGATGAAGTGACAAGGATAGTGGAGTTTAGAAAATAATCCCTTGTAACGACTGCAACAAGTTATACGTAGGCGAAACATCAATGGACCTCCAAACACGTATTTCAGAACACCAATACGCAAGCAGGTCTGACGACACAAGGAATGCCTGCGTACAACACCGTAATTCACACAACCACTTGATAAACTACAGAAACTCAAGACTTATCGCCACAGAAGACAGCACTCAATACCGAAGAATCCTGGAATCATCACTTATTTCTATATCCGACAACTTCATCCAGGATAGTGGCTTCTACAACATAGCTGAACCACTTGCCAAGAAACTTCTTCATCGCTATCCCACATGAGAACACTGTGGGGGGTCTGCTCACAAACTTATTCAATCTCCTTTCCAAGCTACCCAAGATTTTAGGCTCTATAACCCCACTCGGTACATCATCAGATGCAGCATTCTCCACCTGACCTCAGCATTCTGAACCTGACTATAAATACTCGCGTTCCTTCCACCCCAGGTAGTTCTGTGTGTGACTTGAAAAAGCCCACTGTGTGGGCGAAACGTAGTCAATAAAAGATCACATTATACTGCATATGTGTTTATATTTCCATTGTGTCGGTATTTTATACCATTTATTTCCAGTAGTAACATTATGCAGTAACATAATGTTGGCAGTGGTACCATTATGCAGTAACATAATGCTGGCAGTAGTAACATTATGCAATAACATAATGCTGGCAGTAGTAACATTATGCAGTAACATAATTTTTGGCAGTAGTAACATTATGCAGTAACATAATGTTGGCAGTAGTAACATTATGCAGTAACATAATGTTGGCAGTAGTAACATTATGCAGTAACATAATGTTGGCAGTAGTAACATTATGCAGTAACATAATGTTGGCAGTAGTAACATTATGCAGTAACATAATGTTGGCAGTAGTAACATTATGCAGTAACATAATGCTGGCAGTAGTAACATTATGAAGTAACATAATGCTGGCAGTAGTAATATTATGCAGTGACATAATGCTGGCAGTAGTAATATTATGCAGTGACATAATGTTGGCAGTAGTAACATTATGCAGTAACAATGCTGGCAGTAGTAAATAAATCTGATCAAATAAGGCCTATAGGCCTCTGTTTATTCAGATTTATATATTCTTTTGAATACTTATCTTCTAATTAATTTTGTAGGGTTTTATACTTGTTTTATAATAAACTTAGTGACATTTTCTGTGCATTCGCGTATGTCTATTTGGTATATGTAAACTGTATAATTAATGACAGACGTATTTCTCTTTTAAATTGTGTAACATTCGTCTCTCAACCCTTGAGTGGAGAGGACGTGTGCTGCTGCTGCCCCCTGGAGTTGTCTGGTGGCAGTATTATTTTCACCAACATGGCGCAGGCTCGCCGGCGCAGGGTAAATACAGTCTGCATTGTATTAACCAGTGGAGCTGTAACGGGGCCATCAATGGAGTTACTTTTGCCTGCGATCATCAGAGATACCTACGGAATAGCCAAAGAGGAGATTTGTGGACTTGCATTGAACGGTACGAAGAGGATTTTTGCAAAATTTAGTTCGGCGACTGTGTATGAGGCAGTTGTGAATAAGTTTCAAGAGGTGGCCATACC